TTTATTGATATAAAGTATATAAATACATAAATTATTTATATAACTTAATTATTATATATATTATATAAAATATTTTATATATTATATATAAGAATTAAATAATCGGTCGAATTTGGATATTTATCGAATCGAATCAGGTCATATCCAAATTCGAATCCGATTAACTATTCGGTAAGAATAGGATATCCGAATTCAACCGATTAGATATTTGAATTATCCGAATTCAATTCGGTTATGTCGAATGTTGAATTCGAAATCGGATTTTCGAATACCGTTGACACCCCTATTCCTCGCCAACTTTGTTCACATGTTCCTTAATTAATGCCTCATCCCCGCCCAATTACTTCCTTGCCCCTTGGTCTATCTCCCCTATCGTCTTCAACCGTTGAACAACGTTTCACATTCCCCAACTCACCAGAGCAAAAAGTCTGAGACTCCATACCCCAATCTGCTTTATCCTTCCCCTTGCCTTCTCCTTCTCCCCTTTTGGCACTAGTTTCTACCCTGAAGGATGTATTATCTTCTCCTCTATAAAAGTCCTAAGCTTGTATTCTTCTCCTACAAACAAAATTGTTGATGAATTTGGAACCAGCAGAGATTTCTTCAACTCCCACTAGGATTCTTGCAACATCAATTTTCTCTCACCTTCTATATCTCCCGTTATATTTCAGAAATTTACCACAAAAATCCCTAATGACTTTAAAGAGAAAGAGGCACCATGCATATAGGGGAATGCCCATACCCCAATCCACATTGCTCTTCTTCTACCTTCTTGAATCAGACCTGTCACTGGAAACCACCAGCTTAATCTCAAATCGCATACCCTGCTCTTCTTCTCTTCTTCTCCAAAACCCACCTAGCATCAGATCTGGCTATGGAACATAAACAAAAACAGACCCCCATTCAGCTTCCGTACTCCCAAAACTCTCCCCATACCTCATTGCAAATTTGCCCAGGATTCCATTTTCTCCTCCTTCAGCTTAATTCCAACGAACCTACTGACGAAATTTGCATTTGGAACTTCCATCCTCTCAGCCATTTTTTTGGCCATACTCGAATCACTCCATTTCCAGACGATGGTTTTGACATTGATCATGCAGATGATCACCAAGAGATGGGAACATCTATTGCTGAAAACAAGATGAAGACACATGGACCTTCAGTCAAGAGGTGGGTCAACACCTTCAAGAGCCATGTTACTAAGTAACGTCTGATATAAAATCTGATAAAAAAAAGTAATGTCTGATATAAAAAATGGCATTCATCTTGTACCATAGCTGTACATTTATGTCAAATAAGCTAGGAGACAAAAAGGAAATGTGACATAGAAGTGTCCTTGAGATCTGTGGAGTGTGAAACTCGATGTGTGTCTGACATGAATATGTCAACCATTTAGGAGAGTCCATGCACCAATGTCAGCTAACCAGATTTTTTTCTAATCGGAAATGGTAAATTTCATTAATAAATAGAAGAATTACAACCAGCCACCCCAACAGGAGCACTGACCCCATACAACAAACCCCTGTTACAAAGCTGCCCAGAAAAAATCCTCCCTGCTGACCCTTGTTTATCTAATCCATCAGCCAAGGCATTAGCTGAGGTTCTAACACAATTAAATTTTACATCAAAATCCCTTATCAGCCACCGAATTTCTCTTATGTTTTGTCTATAATTCCAATTCCCAAACTTCCTTCCTGTACCCGACCTATTAACAGCTTGGAGTCTCCTTCCACTTCAATCTGATGAAGGGCCCAAATGTTTAGCTAATCTCAGCCAATGGAAAAGAGCCAGTACCTCAGCTCTTAAAGAGTCTCCCACGGCCCCATCCCTGTTGGCCCTGAGAAAAGGGCCAGTAGATTTCCTTCTCCATCTCTTAGAGCTCCTCCTACTCCAGATGGTCCTGGGTTGCCAAGTGAGTTTCCATCAAAATTCAGCTTGACTCTTTGAGGTGAGAGTGGTGTCCAAGCCTCCTGAGAAACTGATTTAGGTCTTGAGAACTCTTTGAATAAATCCAGTACCTTTACCCAATTGCTACTTTGATGATTGCATTATCAATCAATTCCTCCTATGACTTCTCTTTCCCCTGGAAAATTCGATTGTTTCTTTCTTCCCCGATCACCCATAGATTGCCACTCTTGTTGTTCTCCAAGGTGGTCTAGCCCCTTTTCTTCTGCTATCAGGTAATCAGATATTCACAACAAGTATATATAWAAATTCAAAATTGAACAGCTGAAAAACCTAAGTTATTTGATTCTACTGATTTTTATATAGAATTTTTTTTTTTAATTGGGACTCATTCAAGTATGGGTTCCCATCACTGAAACAAGGGAGAGGAATTTATCAGAACCGTAAGCTATCCATAAGCCCCTGTTATACACCCTTAATGATAATGTGTATATTATATGACAGATATAAATTCCCAAACTTGACATGGAAACTTGAAAGTGAATCTAGGACTTCCCAATAACATCCCTATGAGGATTTGAAAGAACTCCTAAACCAATCCCAAAAGCATCTCCTTGGCATTAGAAACTTGCCTTCTTTATTGTGAACCATAATCATACAGCACATACTGATACAATTAATGATATGCAACCCTGCCCAAGATCTTTCTCCAAAAAGAACTGCATTACATAAAGAGACCCTACCAAATATGAGTTTTGATCGAACTTATTTTCAGAAAGGCATCACCTTTGCTAACTCACCTTAAAATGAAAAAGATACTCCAACCAGGAAAATAAACAGATCTTAATTCCATGGTGCTGATAAATAGTTGCTTACTTTCTCAAAAAGTATATCAAAGAAAAAAGAAGCAAAATTAATTGCGGAAAGGGATTTCATACACATAGTGTCACTGTATCTTATGAATGGTTTAAAATGTCCCTAATTTCCCTAAAATTTCAACGACATATTTCCATTTTCATGGGTAGCAACACAAAATTTTACTGGAATTGACATATTCCTCAATGAACACTATCAGCACTATGTGGAGCACAAGAGATAGCTTCGATGACATATTTCCATCTCTACTTCCATGGGTAGCAACATGAAATTTTACTGGAATCGACATATTCCCCAGTGGATACTACCAGCAGTATGTGGACTACAAGAGATAAGTATCATAACATAAGTTGATGACAATATTGTAGATATGTGGAGTAACAATGTGGTTGCCTATCTAACTTACATAATTACCACTTTGAGCTAGTTCAATATTCATTTTAAACATGAAACATGAAGTTAAATATTACTTTTTGTTTGTGTAATAGATTATTTGATTGATCTATCATGAAACTTTGAATCTTAAGGTTTAACAGGTCAACTTTTTTGTTTTTGATTGGAAACAGTAACATTCATTAATTCTTTAAGAAACTTAGTACAACTGTCACCTTCAAAAAACAAGGTGACCCCTCCACAGATTACAAACAGGCCCAAAAAAGGTTTTGCCTACTAACTCCTTGCTTTGCTAAAGTATTAGCCATTGCATTGGCTGATCTCCTACTCCATTTAAACCTGACTTCAAGCTCCCTTGTTAGTTGCATAATCTCCCTTATAGGTTGTCTAAGGGACCAGGCACCTAAGCTGTTTGTTTGCATCCAACCTATTACCAATTTTGAGTCTCCCTCCACTTCCAACTGCTGAAAACCCAGCTGTTTAGCCAGCTTGAGCCCTTGTAGGAGTGCCAAAACTTCTGCTCTAAGAGAGTCCCCCAGTCCTATCGGGCCAAAATAAAGGGCCAGGACATTTCCTCCCCCATCTCTAAAGACACCCCCGATTCCAAAGGGGCCTGGATTACCTATAGAACTGTCATCAAAGTTTAACTTAACATCCAAACATAACGGGGGCGACCAGTCCCCTTGAATAGCTAAAGAGGGGCAGGAAGAAGCTGCTACCACACTCCACCCTCTAATTAAGTCATCTACAGAGATGTCCTTGAACAGATCCAGCGATTTCAGCCAATGTATGATCTTGATGGTGATCCCTTCTATGACTTCATGTGCTGATTTTTCTTTCCCTTGAAAGATTCTGTTTTTTCTCTCTTCCCACACTGTCCAAACAACTGTTGTCCTCGTTACTCTCCACATTACCCTTCCTCTTTTCTTTGACTGATGAAAAAAGATAGATTCAAAAAGATCCACCACGCTTGTAGGAGGAACCCACCTACACCCAAAGAGAGGAAAACCAATCCCAAATAAGAGTAACAAAAAGACAAGATATTAGTAGATGATTTACCGTCTCACCACTCTTCAAGCAAAGGCTACAAACATGAGGGGATAAGAACCAATTCGGTCTTTTTTCTGAAGCAAGTCCAAAGTATTGATTTTCTGGAGAACCATTTCCCAACAAAAAGCTCTCACCTTTGGAGGTATAGGAGCACTCCACACTTCTTTTATAGGAAAAGAGTAAACCAAATTGGAAGAGTGCACTAAAGAATTGAAGAAAGAAGAGCATGAAAAACAATCGGAGGACTTTTCAGACCAAATTCTATTATCAGGACAAGAATGATCCAAAAACACTGAATTTAAAAGGGAGAAAAGATCATCTGACTCCCTCAACCCTCTCCCGAACCCTAGTTTAACAGGTCAACTTCAGAATGTATTCTTGCCTACAACCTTAGTTTCTTAGCTTTGTTTAATGATTTGGACCAAGATAATAATTTAAAAAGGTGTGTCCGTGCTTCTTTTATCATTTTATAAAATACCATTCTATATTTTTGCACATTTGCATATTTTACAATGTTTCCACCATATCTATAATTTTTACCGTATTTCCATACGATATTTCCAACATTTCCGACATGTTTCCTATATTTGGATGACCAAGATTTCCACCAACACTGACATTTCAAACCTTGCTTATGACATACATATGCAAAGATATGTCCCAGACTTATGAAATAAAAAATATCAAAAAGTTAAAATATGAAGATTTACAAACATTTACAATTATAACAAGTACAAGAAAAGTAAGTATCCCTAATTAACAATATCTTTACATACTTGCGAGATCTAAGTTTACGTTCAGCCTCCTCTGACCGCATTTTCACATGGTTCTTTGTAGATTCATCCAAAATACGTTGTACATTTAGTTTGCGCCATGAACACCCAGATTCAACAAGCAAACCATTTCCATCCCCACCACCTTGTCGTTCTTCATAAATATCACAGAGGTTTGCTGGTTCTTGTGACCATGTAAATCTAAACTCCTTACCACCTACATCAATAACCTGGTGCACTAGACTTTGTAAATCTTCTATTGCTTAAAATAAGCAAGTTAAAAGAATATGAAACCATATAGACTGAAAAGCAGAAGCAATAAAAGTTCAATCAGAAGAACCATGCAATAAGCTCTGACATAACATTTAAGGAGAGAACTAAATATACAAGATATGAATAGAATAACTGCATTTTTTTGATGAATAATAATAAGTTTATTAATTCAGAAGTTGATTTAGAGTTGTGAATTCATACAACATCCAAGGAAGAGGCGCGAGCTGCAGCCCCTCCTTGAATTTTACAAGTAAACTAGGAAAGGAATACAGGAATCACAGCTGAATAGAATAACTGCATTTTTTCTGATCAATGAAATAACTGCATAAAAGAGAGAGAGAAAAGTAATTTGAACCAAGCAAAACAATTCCGTTTAAATTGCTTGTCCGAATAGATATGGTGAATTTCAATGATTAGATCTGTTAATAAACCTTCAAGATGTTACACCTTTATGTATGATTAGGTGGCTACAACTTAATAGATTTCAGTCCATGCATAGAAGCTAATTTATAGTTATGAGGGACAAAAGAGACAAAGGAGAATTGCTTTACATTTTAGACAATCCAAATCTCTATTAGATAAGTTCCTAATCATAATCATTGCACATCCATAGACCAAGAAAGTGAAATTCCATGCATCTACTGCAAATAGTTAAATAAAAAGTGATCAATAGATTTTAGCTTCTCTGAAGAAAATATACAAATTATAAGAAAAATTTTAACCTAACCCAGCATTGAGTCCATTACTCAATACATGCACTAAAGTGATTATCAAAATAGATGAACCACCAAAATACAACTCTAATAAATGCTAGGGATTATATAGCTAAAAGAACAGGAATGAAGATTAAAGAACTAATATTCTAAAAAAGGAAAATTCAGAAGGCCAATGGTACAAATTCCTTGCAAGAAAAAAATGGAGAATTTGATGCCACCAAATAACCCTTGGTCAGGTAGATAAAGATTTAGAAAAAAACATTCAAAACAATAACATGAATTTGTAGTCCCCATTTACAAATAGAGAGAGGAAAAGTATTTCATGGATATCTTCCTCACTCAATGATCTGAAAAAAAAATCAACCTTTTTATGTTGTTAGTAGGAGGTTGCCAGGGCTGTAGCAAGGTATCACCAGATCTGTTGGTCACATATGCAATTGTCCAATCATGGAGATAGCCTTTTCTAAGGCATGTTGCATGCCTAAGAAATAATGGCCTAGTCATTGGATCATTTCAGAGTACTGCTGCTTTGGCACCAAGGTTCAACGTATTGATACCATAAAGAGTTTTGCTTTGACCAAAACTGGTCTTTTTTTATCTTTTTTTGTGTTAGACTTTGGCAGGGGAATAGCAACATTTTCTTTTAACATATAAAAACATTAAAATCATCTAATTCCCCTTAAATAGCATATCGGGGACCTAAAGATATGATATGATAGGCCCAATAGGAAGCATATTGTATCACTACTTTGAACCTTGACTGGTACAGCAAATTAAAAGGAAGAACAGTAAGTAACTAAGGAGTTATAAGTTTTTTATGAATGAACCTATAATCCACAGACAAGCAAAAGAAAGAAAAGTTTATCTTTATAAGCTCCTGTTGCACAAAAATGCTACTCAAAAAGATTCTAATGGAACAGAAAGTAATTTCCAGTTGCTTTTACAAAATTCACTTGTTTGGGAAGGTCCTGAAAGGAATGATGTTTCCTGATTTTCTGTCTCTTGTACTCCACGGGTCAGAGTTTCATCATTTTGTAGCGGCACAAAATCTGAAACAACTTCGTGCTTTTTAGCTACTTTAAGGCGTTCATGTTTGTACAATTTAATTTATATGATCATCATGCCTACCTCATCTAGGTTGCCTTGACAGATTATATTTCTACACCAGTTTTACTAAACAATAATACTATGTGTCCATTAGAGAGTAGTTAAATTAACATTAGTTGGCGTTGGAGGTTCCAAAAGTTCCAATGAGAAATAAAAACAAGGAAACAGATAAACCCAAAAAAATAATGGAACACACTATTCAAAATAATAAACAAAATAGAATAATGGTTGAATCAGTCAATTGCCTCAAATCTCAATCACTCCAATTTCAAGAATTAACAAGAGACACCGTTAGAATAAGGCAGATAGATGAGTTCAATTCAACCAGAAGGAAAGTAGTAACAGAAAATGGTACTCAAGGACACCAAGAAGTTCTAATTCAAACTAAACAGCAGTGCTGAGATCGAATCAAATTAAAAAATAGAGAAGCTTTCAAAGAAATTGAATCAGTTACTTACATTTCCAGACATATTGTTAGTATTGGAGTCGAATTTGATTCGGGCAGTACCTCCCTGCGATTCAACCCGCTTGATCTCGTCGACTATGTCGGGGGTAAGCCGGATGATCATGGCGAAGGCAAGTGGACTTTCCGTGACAAGGCTGAAGGTCTCTTCCGGGGCTGATGGGGCGGCAGCTGGGGTGGTGCTGGCTTGGCGGTTACGAGAGCCGGCGCCACCGATGGTAAGACGACCACCGGCGGCGCCGGCAGGGCGGTTGGGAGGCGGCGGAGGGAAGGGATTGTGGATGCGTTTCGTACCCCGACCACCGCCTCCTCCACCTCTACCGAGTTTTGACGAACCCCCGTACATTCTTGCTCCCTCTCTGCAGATGTTGAGACCGGGCGTACTTTAGCAAATACACGCTTCTGGAGGAGGACGCCGGAGGTAAGGAAGATGGAAGAAGAATAGGAGAGAGAGAGGGAGAAGGAGACGAGTTAAAGAGGGTTTTTTTTTTATTTTCGAAATTTATTTCTGCAATGAATGGATTAATTACTGGAGTACAGAGATCGCAACTTGGGCCTATTGGGTCGGGCTCCTCAAGAGGAAGCCCATGAGTTTGAGCTTGGTTGGATTCGAGTTAGCCCGTCCCAAATTGCTCAGTGTTATTCTGTCGATAGTTGAGCTGAGCCTGCACATTGACTAACTTCATTTCTAAGGGCCCGTTTGGGAGGGCTGAAGCGTTGGTTCAGCTGCTTCCATTGGATTACTTTAGAAAAGAGAAAGTAGCTAAAAAAGCTTCAGCATAAAGCTATGTTTTGGTTTTGGAGTCATTTTTGGCTTTCCAAGGTTTTTACCGTTGTATTGAAAATTAGACCAGACCAAGCGGTTGAACCACTTGAATTATGACCAGGCACCTGGTTGGTTTGGTTATATCCCTAAAATCAGAAGTCACAAATAGACTACCTAAAAGGCTAAAACTGCCAATCTGGCAGGTCCAACTCAGAAAACCAGTGAACCGGTCCCAATTTTAGAAAATCGGTCGATTTTTTGAAACTCTTCTAAAACATAAATATAGACTTTTGGAGGCCATAATTTTGCACTCAGATATCCAATTGAGGTGATCTATTTTTATTTTGGGTAACTTTTCATGATCTATGTGTCCTAAGGGTGCCTTTTTCCACTTTTTTGTTAGAAAAAATACATTTTTTTAGCCTCAAATCTTAATTTTTAATATAAAAAAATTGAAACTACAATGGGTTTGACCGTGGTTGAACCTCTAACCCATGAAGCACTCCCTTTTTCAAGTCAATGCCCAATCTAATTCGTTCAAAGTTAGTTTTTACCAAACATGATCATAGATTGCCAAGGTGAGGCCCACCTCGGACAAGTAAAAGTTCTTGTGTGAAAGCCYTCCCAAATGGGCACTAGGTGGCATATATACCTAGTGTTATGTTGTGGAATTCTTTAGGCTGCATTTGGTTGCAATGGAAATCTAAATCAGATACAAATTTTGCACCTCGTCCAATTTTGCATTTATTTGTTTGTAACTATGATTTGCACTCATTAGTAGTACAAAGTTTATGTTTTTTTTGTCTCATGCACTCACTAGTAATGTAAAATTTGAGTGTGGTTTTGGATAAGAAAACTATGAATGTTGGTCAACCTCCATTGTTGTAGGGGAAGTGTGGGCTATATGGGAAGCCCATCTCTTGGTTAAAAATTACAGAGGGTACAACATCATTACCATTTTAGATTAGTGATTGAATGTTTGCAAGGCCAGGATTGAAGTCATGGGAGCATCAAGCTGATCATATATGATGATAGTCATGAGGCATTGGCCCACCTCAATATTTGTTGCATACATGTCTATCAGGAAGGAAATGCAATATGGAATTGGTTGGTGGATGTTGGTCATGCTAGAAGTAGTTCAAGTAGGATAGGTCCTAGTTCTTCATTTAAATTTTATTTGTTTCTATGATGCTTGGTGGGAGAGCTGCCCCCCAATTTTGTGTACCTCGCTCTCTCTCTCTCTCTTCAGTAAAAAAGAAATAGATTACAGATTACTACTCCATTCTTTGGGGTAATGGCAATTATCCCCCTAAACTTTCATTTGCAACAAAGACCCCTTCAACTTTAGATTCTGACAAAGGCCTCCCTTTCAATTGAGTAATGGAAGAAGCTAATTTACCAAAACACCACTCGAGAAACTTTTATAAAATGGAAATTGCAACAAAAATAAAACCAATAAACTTCTATGGAAAACTTGAGTTGCAACAAACACAATATGCAATTGATATCAACTAATCTAGTAACAAATGGAAATTGAAAAAAAAAAAAACAAAATTGAACCTCCAACACTTGTTTTAGAAAATCAATGGAAAAAAGTGTAGTTTAGGCATTTAGAAATTTTAAACAGTTGTATGAGAATCTTGTTAAGATTAATTGATGGAATGCTAATGGAGGGGGTCTTTGTCATAATCTAAAAGTTTAGGGGGTAATTGCCACCACCCCCAAAGTACAGGGTAATAATATGTAATTTACCATCATGATAATAATAATAATAATAACAACAACAATAATAATAATAATAATAATAATAATAATAATAATAATAACTAACGGAGGGCCCTGAATTGTAACATTACTATTTGCTACATTAAAAAAGACAATGGTTTCTTAATAAGAAACTTGCAATTATAACTATTCAAGTCTTGAAACTCATATAAAGACTTAAAAGAGATCATCATGTGCTCGTTTTTTAAATATTACTTCAGCAAAGCATCTCATATAAAAGAATATGATCATATAGTGATAGTTATGAGTTCTACTTCATATCTGTCCTTTGGTTCACATTGAGAACTCCCAGTTGACTTAGACAATAGGACCGTTCGGCTCGAGAACCGTCCAAGCAACTAGTTCCATTTTACCCCAAACCCAGTCCTTGGTCAAAAACTGTTGAATCAGTCAACGACCTGTTGACCTGGGCAATCAAACCTTCGACTCGTTCAACGGTTTTGGCCATTTTTTATTTTAATTATTTTTTTATATTTTATTTTTGTTTTTAGAATAGGCCATCCGTTCAAACTGAATGATTGAACCGTCGACCTAGAAACCGGTGGCCAAAACGGTTCTGTTTCCATACCATTTTTCTAGATGTCGAACCGTGGACTTGGAAACTAGTGGCCAGAACGGTTCTGTTTCTAGGTTGTTTTTTCTAGATGTTAATAATTAGACGAAATAACTTTGTAGTAGTCATAGTCATGGAAAGGGTGGACATTGCAAGGGATTCCAAAACCTTGAAAGATAAATCCAGAGTGACCTTAAACACATAAAAAAATTAGCGATAAATCCACCAAATTGGAAAAACCAAGGAAAAAAATAAGAAAATTGAGTCCAAAGTTCTACTTTGAGACGGAAAAAAATTGCATGTATGGAGCTAAACATACATGCAATCAAAGAAAGAGAAAAAGCAGATCGTCTTGTAAGAAAAAAAAAAAAAAACATTGCACAAGAAAATCCAAAGAAAAAACAAAAGGGAAGAAATAAAATGGTGGTAAACCCTAGACCATTTTGGAGGATCTTGAAGAATAAGACCAAACACAAAAAAAAAACAAAAGCATAAAATGAAAAAAAGGAACATACCGCACATGCTCAAATAAAACCCACAGTAGAAGAAACCTTTGAATAGTGATAATCCAAAAGCATAAAAGCCATGGTTTTCGAACCGTTGTTGACCTGGACAGACAAACATTTTGGCTCGGGAACCATCCAAGCAACCAGTTCCATTTTACCCCAATCCCGCCCCTTGGCCAAAAATCGTTGAATTGGTCAATGACTCATTGACCTACGCGGTTGAACCATCGACTCGTTGACCCGTTCAATGGGAACCATCCAGGAAACCGGTTCCATTTTATCCTAATCCTGGTCCCTTGCCAAAAACCATTGAATCGGTCAACAACCCATTGACCTGGGCGATTGAACCATTGACCCGTTTAATGGTTTCTGGTCGTTTTTTCTATTTTTAAATTTTTGTTGTCAGAACGGGTCATTCGTTCGAACCAGATGGTTGAACCGTTGACCCAAAAACCAATGGCTAGAATGGTTCTGTTTTCGAGTCATATGAGTCACACGCTCAAATGACATAACACGTATGATACTGCTTAATATACCTCACAAACTCAATTTTTTGCTTGTAATTTTTGTTATCAGAACGGGCCGTCCATTCAAATTGGATGCTTGAACCACCATTTTTTTATTTTTTTAATTAGGAACTGTGTAGGCAACCAGTTTCGTTTTACCCCAATCCCGGTTCTTGGCAAAAAACCGTTGAATCGGTCAATGACCCATTAACCCGAATGGTTGAACCGTCAACCCGTTGACCTGTTTAATGGTTTTTGGCTTTTTATTTTTTTTTTAATTTTTGTTGTCAGAATGGGCTGCCTATTCGAACTGGGTAGTTAAACTGTCAACCCGAAAAATGGTGGCCTGAATGGTTCCATTTTCGGGTCGTATGAGTCACACGCTCGAATGACATAACACATATGATACTGCTTAATGGACCTCACACACTCAATTTTCTTCCTGTTATTTTTTTGTCAGAACGAGCCGTCCATTCGAACTGTTGACCCAAAAACCGATGTCTAGAGCAGTTCCATAAGTTTTTGCTTATAATTTTTGTTGACAGAATGGGTCATCCATTCGAACTAGACGATCAAACCATCGACTCGAAAACCAGATGGTCGAACCTTATGTTTTAATGAAGAATCTTATATATCTATATATAAGATAATAATAATAATAATAATAATAATAATAATAATAATAATAATAATAATAATAATAATAATAATAATAATAAGGGAAAATTCATGATTAGTACCTTCTACTTTGGGCCTAGGTCCACTTTGGTTCCTAAACTTTAAATCGCAAAACTTCAATACCCGAACTTTCAAAATGTATACTTTCAAAATGTGTTGTTAGAATGGGCTGTCCATTCGAACCGAATGGTTGAACCGCTATTTTTTTATTTTTTTTAATTAGGAACCATCCGGGCAAGCAGTTCCATTTTACCCCAATCCCGGTCCTTGGCCAAAAACCGTTGAATCGGCCAATGACCTATTAACCCGAGTGGTCGAACCATCAACCTGCTGACCCGTTCAATAGTTTTTGCCATTTTTTATTTTTTTTAATTTTTGTTGTTAGAATGGGTTGTCCATTCAAACTGGGTGGTCAAACCATTGACTCGAAAATCGGTGGCCTGAATGGTTTCATTTTTGGGTCGTATGAGTCACACGCTCGAACGACATAACACGTATGATACTGCTTAATGGACCTCACACACTCAATTTTTTTGCCTATAATTTTTGTTGTCAGAACGGGCTGTCCATTTGAACTGGACGGTCGAACTGTTGATCCGAAAACCGATGGCTAGAACGATTCTGTAATTTTTTGCTTATAATTTTTATTGACAGAACAGGTCGTCCATTTGAACTGGACGATC